GGGTTTAGATTTGGTAGCAGCCCATTAATTAATTGAAATGAGCTACCTAAGGCTGAAGGACTATGATGTTAGAGCTGTTTTAGTTTTATTTCATTTATATTCAAGAAAAACGTATTCAATTAACCTTGGCCTGAAGTGAACACATGTTACTCTTTTTCCTCCTAAGGTTGAACAGGGTGTGCGTGAGAATTACTTAGAAGGTCAGGAGGTGACAGGGCGTATGCGCGCCATCTTGGTAGACTGGTTGGTACAGGTACACTCCAGGTTCCATCTCCTGCAGGAGACTCTCTACCTAACAGTGGCCATTATTGACAGGTTCCTTCAGGTAACTGGATGCATCTAGTTATATACAGATCAAGATGGTGTTATATGAGCTGAATGAATTTGTCTTAATTTTAATGACACAAGAAATGTGTCTAATAGAAAAAAAAATGGTTGAAATTGAAGTTCTATATATTTTACAAGATTGTCTATCGCTTATTCAAATTTAACTGGATTCTAGAGTAAGAATAAAATATTTTTTTCAGTTATTACACAAGATCCTCAAACTACAGGCAAACTGAATAGCTTTAAAAAGTAGTTATTTTATTTATTATTATTTTTATTATTATTAGGTTCAAGCGGTGTCTCGTAGTAAGCTTCAGCTCCTTGGTGTGACAGCCATGTTGGTAGCTTCCAAATACGAAGAGATGTATGCCCCTGAAGTGGCAGACTTTGTCTACATCACAGACAATGCATACACAAAGTCAGAGATCAGGAAAATGGAGATCTTAATCCTTAAGGGTTTAGAGTTCAACTTGGGGAGACCCTTGCCTCTACATTTTCTGCGTAGAAACTCCAAGGCTGGTCAGGTGAAGATTGTTTATCACACATAATTCATTTGCAATATAAAGACGAAGTCCTATCTTCTCTTGGTGGTTTATGCCTTGTGGAGCCCCCAAACCTGCCCATTCATAGGGCCACCAAGCCATTACTTCCTTCTGCTTTCTTACAAACTAAAATTCTGGTTTATAGAGCACTTGGTACAGTGGCCTATATTTCAGATAGTTACCCAAGTACTATCAAATTTAGGTGTGCAGTGCCCGTAGATGTGCCAGTTAGTTTATTTCTTATTATTTTAATCATTTTCAGGTTGATGCTACAGTACACACACTAGCCAAATACCTGATGGAGCTAACAATAGTAGAGTATGATATGGTGCAATACACTCCCTCCCAGGTGGCAGCAGCTGCCCTGTGTCTGGCTGTCAAGGTCCTAGATGAGTCTGACTGGGTAAAGTGAATTTACCTTCTGTATTAGCTGCTAATTTTGTTTCATCGAGTTGTCTTTGGTCATTGTTTGATATTGAAATCCAAGTAAATTGTAAACAAATCTTCACAGCATAGTACAAATGGTTACTTGGTTATGGTCTAACTTGTAGTGAAGCTCATTTATATTTATTTTACTTTTGGACTTAAATAAGATTCTTTTTTTTATATTCAGACGGACACATTAACACACTACAGTGGATATACAGATGAACAAAACAAACCAGTCATGCAGAAGATGGCTGCACTAGTGGTAAAAGCTAACTCTGGAAAATCAAAACTACAGGTAATGCTCAATAACCCCCCCCCCCCCCCTCCAATGTTTAAGAGACAATACCAGAATTATGTATCTACTACATATACCTCTTCTTGGTAGATAAGTGTACCCTCTACTAGGGTGGCAGATTATATAGGGAAATAAATTGGAAAAAGAGATAGTAAAGTGACAGTCTAGTTATCTAAAGACACATCTGTAAATATTCTGAAGTCAATCTGTGGCCCTGGTAAAGGGTACTTGAAGTGTACCTTTGCCGTTAAACATAATCTGCATTATTGTTTGTTTTAGTTTGCCTATGGTGAATGAGAAATTTCTTTAATTGTCAGATTATTAAACACGGTTCATTTGTTGTGCAGCAATGTGATATTGATTTGGTATTATTCTTCCCTGTAAAGGCAATCAAAACCAAGTACCAGAGCTCTAAGTACATGAAAATCAGTGCCCTGCCAGAGCTCCACACCACAGTCATCCATGACATTGCAGAAGGCAAATCGTGAAGCCATGGACATTGGTTGATACAACCCTGGAGTATGTGTGCAAATGTGTGAGCAGTTGAGAGAGAGAGGTGTCAAAACCCAATCAGGATTTGTCAGGAATTTGGGTTTTTATCACCTCAAGTTTCATCTTGATCATGTAACTTTTTTAAATGCTGCTTTATTCATTTTTTTTATAATACCAGTCATTTTTTGAAAGCTAAGTCCTTTTATGGAGCTGAAATCTGGACATTTGATGCGAATGCATTTCCTCACTTTTAAATATCAAAGTGATAAATGAGGTAGATACGGAAAAATCTGCATGAGAATTAAATTATACAGCATGGTTGCAATTAGCATGTGGGTTACTTGTATATAGTATATAGCTTAGAAAATCGTGTATAAATGATTTTTATTTCAATAAATGTTTTATTTTTATTAACAAGACTTCTGATATCTGACTTGAAATAATAGACTAAATGGAGATTAAAAGACAAAATAAAGGATTGAGGACCCCAAAAGAAATGACTTGTTCATTTTAGCATTACCTTGTATAAATCATGGAAATACATGAAGAGGTTTGGACAAAGTATTATACTAAACTGGAAATTAGTTTTACAAAAATGTCATTGGCACTATATCTGATCAGATGCTAAGTAGTAAGATCAGCAGAATTAAACTTGAAAATGGTATAATTTGCTTTGCTTTAATATAAATTGCATCCTCAACTGTTCTGTATCCAAATAAGTCTCAAGGCTTAACAAATTGTTAAGAATCAACAAAAATAAGTAATGATGCATAACTTAAATGCTGCTCAATTTCCAGTAAATTGCAAAAAAAAAAAAAAATTCATATAAATGATCTAAGGGCGCATTCCGATAGATTTTAGATTGATCCATCCCCGTGTGGAGTCTCACTAGATTACTGTCAGATAATCCGGCTTAAATGTCCGTCCTGCCTACTACGAGCTAAAAGGGGGTAATTAACTTTCGTACCCGCTCAGCTGACAGCTATTTAGCGGGAACCCTCAGGGAGTTAGGTCGATGTACTTGGATCGATCTTATCTCTGGGAATAGGATCTAAGTTTACACTGACATATTCAAAGTATCAATGTACCTGGAAGAAACGGGTATATTCTCCAAACAGCAATTTCAACTGTTCCTCTGAGATTCCAAACTTGCTCAGTGAATGATCAAACTTTCCACTTGTTGCTTTCATCTCCCCATCTCTCAAATATTCTTTCATGTTTAAAATGGCCTCTTGGGAGACTGTCAAACCCATTTTGTCATAGATGCATTTCACAACTTCAAGAGGATCTTGTAAATAATTTTCATAATTCACATCTAAGAATGTTACGTTTTCCTCCATTTGGGATGTAAAATTATTGTTAGCGTGTCTCTTCCGAGTAGTCAATGATTTTTCATAAAGCCATGTAAGTAAATCCAAAACCCTGAGTCCAAGCGCATTGAGGTTAATGTCTCTCTTTCTATAAAATAATTCAGCTATTTGTGAATACAGTGTACAGTACTGACTAGCAGCAAGCACTGGACTGCAGTGCATCTGTACAATGCAAGCATCTGGGAAAACTTCTAGCAGAGCATCCAAGAAAAGCATGTGTGTAGGATCCTGCAGAACAAATGTTCTCCAACCAAAACCTGAAAAAAAAAAAAATATATATATATATATATATATATATATATATATATATATATCAAGATGCACCAAAAAGGATTATGTGTGGACCTCCATTATCATTGGCCTGATATACAGGTATGTTGCAGTATTTTAAAGTCAACATTACTTTATATACTCAGTATATGGAATGGAGTATTTTTAGCTAAAACCCTTTGTTTGTGTTGGGAAAGAATACTAGTATTTACAAAAGTTTTGCATCACTCATTTTGTCCTCTGTAAACCCCACACAAAAACATTTGACCCTTCATTTCAATTCATGCCAACAAGCATAAAACTTTACCCTGATTAAAAGCTAATAGCTGCAGTTGCTTCTTGTAATACTGATAAACTTTGACCATCTCACTTCTGCTGCATCCTTTCAACCATTGTCTGTACTCTGACATATTCAGACCAACAACTGGGGGCAGCAAGTCGATAAAGCTACGCTGTAGAACATGACTGCATGCAGCAGGATAGGTGGCATATTTGGCAAGGATAAGCTCAATACTTGGACAGAAAGAGGTCAGCCAACCTGGAAAAAATAAAGATAACTTATTTACAAGAAACGCCTATGTTATAACAGAAATATCTGTATAAATTCTACCAATCTTGATTAAAAGCATTTTGTTAATGACCCTTAACTATTGTCATGAATTTACATATAAAGCAATCATGGACTATAAGTAACCACTTCTACTAGTTTCTGATATTACCTAATTAATCAACTGTTCAGCCAAATAATAGCTTAAAAATAGCTTCAATTGGTAAAGATTGATCCAACTCTAGGGGGACCCTTGCTAAATGCAACCAGATTAGCAGATCAACACCATTTGTTTCATACATACTCGTATAATAAACAGCTTTTCTATTTTCTACTCATTGCCATGAGGAGGAGTGTTAATCTGTTAATCTGACTGCATTCAGCGAGAGTCCCTGCAGAGTGGAATCAATCTCCGAAGAATGATAGTTTCATTGGGAATGGGCCCTTAGACATTGCTAAAACTTCAATAAAAACAATAATTCTGTACTAAGTGAACACAACTCTTACCAATATATCTGTTTGTCTCTCTGATTCTGGCATCTGCTGGAGATTCTGTCGATTTTGGTGGAGGTGTGGGATTCAGCAGTTGCCACAACTGAGGAACTTGATTGGCTGGGTCTTGTGCAAGAAGAGCCTGAAGTTGGTTACAACCAGAGAACATTGGACCAACTATGAAAATTGGGTGCTTGATGGGAACCTAAAAAAGAAATTTACATATATTAGGCCTCACTTGCATACATATCACCTACTAAATGTGGGAATAGTAGCACATGTTTAAAATGTAAAAGGCTATTCCATAATCCAATGCTTCTAGCATTCAACTCATGATCATAAATGGGAGTGCTAGTGGCCAATACTACTTCAATTCATCATGTTAGCAATAATGGAGGACAGAATTGTGTAGTTACAATGTAGAAATATATGAACAAAGAAGCATGACAATAAAATATCATTTTACTATTAGTCATGTAAATAAATTTTCATTTCATAGAAGTAATTTTACACCACATTTTACACCACATTTAGAAACAGTCAAAAAAGGTTTCTCTTCCCCTTTCTATGAAACTCTACAAAACAATGAACTGTTATCTATTTGCATAAACAATTTTAATTAACTGTTCAAACAAGAAATGTTACCACAGAAATGCCTGCATGTTTCCTCAAAGTTTGCTGAATTGCAAGCCTCTGAACCAATGCTTCTTGGTACTGAGCCTTTATCAATTTCCTTCCAAATGTTGTAACTTTCAGGTCTTTTCCCCAACAATCTGCCAAAATGGAAAAAGGATGGGGCCAACCCAGGTCATCCGAACAATTTAATGAACCATTCCTTGCACCATTTGCGATTCTTTTTCCTCTGCAAAAGCAACGCCGAAGGTCTTGTGATCCTGGTATATTGGTAATTATCAAATCACTAGAAATCTCATAAAGTTTGATCCCGAAAATCAGCCACATTACATAGCCATAAATGTTAAGGAAGAATCGTCCCAGTCTTCGACACCATGTTGTAAGCCCCATTTTTAGAGATCCACAATCACAGATATCAACAGCATCTGTCATGTATACAATATGGCACTTCACACATGTTCAATTTGTATCTGATCGTAGTATGACATTTGGGTGTAGCTCCACATAATGAGGTCACTTCATAATGCGAACCATCACGGAAGTCGGTGACTGTGAAGTTGACACCGCCAAGTTTCTTTTTCTGGAATACATTAATTTATAACATTCCTGCGATTAAGTTTATTAACATTCCTGCGATTAAGTTTTTAAACTGGTCACTAGAACGAAAAGCAAGCATCACATAGTTGTTAACGTTTTATAAGGACACAATTAAGATACAGGCATAGTAGACACTAGGACAAATGAAATTACTTCTGTTTCCGTTTTTGAAAAAGGACTTGTCCCGCCGCTATAAACATCCGGTAACTCCGCACTCGAAATTTCCGGTTGTTCGTTTTGGCGACGCACGCTGCGGCGGACGAAGGCACACGAAAAACTCAGCGTGCAACAACTTGAGCAAAGGGTTTCAAGATTTCAGGAGGCTTTTTTTTTTTTTTTTACATAATAAGCCAAATAGACCCTCACGCATAATTTGCATATCATTGTAGGTCTAAGAAACAGCAGAATAAATGTTTACTGTTATATCCAAGATCATTTCCTATTTCGACGGCCTTTCACTAAAAATGGCCTTTGATTTGGCTTGGAAACATAATTTAAACAACACTGTTAAACAATGTGAAAAAAATCTATAGAGGTGCAGATCTTTAGATATATTATTCGATGTTAAAACTTTATGTCGGAGAAAGAGTAAAAGAAAATTAAATACTAGTAAAATTAAAAAAAAAAAAGAACTCTTAGCCCTAGATCTATGTTGGAGAAATAATAAAATTAATTTTTTTTTTCAAATTCGGGAATTACAAGTACGAGCTATCTGACGTAACCTGACGTCATGACACTTCTCTTTTCCAACTATGACATCACAATAGTGTGAGGTCATTGACAAGTAAGCATAGTTACTGACTGTACTATATAGTATTTGACGAAGAGAAGTGTGATTAAGTTACTAAGATGATTATTTTCACCAATTTCTTGTTTCTCGCGATTCAGTGCTTCGGCTCATTTGTGAAGCAGAGGGCAGGTTATTCAAATGCCAAGGTAAATAGGCCCCTTCAACAAGATGCATTGTAAGCCTTTATGTCTATTGGCTAACTATTGTTGCGCTCGTTGAGAGAGTGATGATATACGTTGGTAATGAGTACATGTATGTGATGAAAATATTCAATTATTATTTGATAACGCGTGTTGGGAATTTCCGTGGAATACGCCCTCGAATTATTTCTATATTGGCTGTATATTCAACGCGCGAGTTGCGTTATTTCTTACCCTGTCCAGGAAATCGTATAATTTACCTTAAATACAATTTACTTTTCTGTTCTGAAGTTAATTTACAACTTCTTTTTAAAATTATTTATATTTATTCATTTGTGATATACTTGGTTGGTTTATTCTTTTTTCCAGCTTGTTGACGAAGTTTGGTAAGTTTTTCACACGTTTTTAATCATTTGAATTCTTATCTGACGGCATCTTTCATAGCTCTGTTCTGATAATTCTTCATACACTGCCTCTAAATATTTTTTAATAAAACTGGAAACGCACTCGGCCAGGGTGTGCAGACCTCCGCCAAGGTAGCTCAATCCACATTAGCATGTATTAATTAATCAATCAATCAGCACTAAATTGTAATAGATTTTAGTTGGCCCATTTTATCAAAATACGCCCGTAACGTTAGGTTGACAAACCAACAAAGGCAAAAACATAATTACAGTAACATAACTTTCTTGGCGATGATAATAAATCAAGGAATGATCGTTGTAGGTCATACACAATTGCTACTTGTGACCATTTGGTTTTCGTTCTCTGAAAACAATATCTTTTTACTTTACCATCTTTAATCTTCAGCATGCCCAGGAAATTTGGTTGCTTTTCCGACATAGATAAGTTTGAAGCTGCAGAGGCGGCAAAGAATGCCAAAGACTTCTTTGCATTGGTAGTGTCCTTGGACATTTCTGGCGTTGAGTTGCTTGGGATCATTGAGGATCGTCTGAATAAGGCAAGGGCCCAAATGGTAAGATGACTTTGCATTATATTTATTTATTTATTTATTTGGAGCATGAAGCACAGTTAATGGATTAAAAAGAGAAGAAAAGAGCGAGCAATGTCAAGCCATGATGCCTTTTAATGTCGGAATTTTCATTATGAAACACCAAATTTTAATGCCATGACCATTCGTGTAAGATTAACAGTGGGTTAATGTTGAATTTAAGTGAAGTGTTTTAATCAGTGCTCAGTAAACATTATTACTTTTTGTAATTTCCATTTTTTACATTTTCAGGATGGCAAGTTTGCTAAAGAACTGCAAGAAATTGTCAGGTAAAAAAAACTCACTGTTTTATTATTTTGCATCAATTCAGATTTTGTTAATCATGATTTTATAGCCAGGATGGGGGGTGGGGGTGTAAACGGTGTTTATTAGGTGCACTTGTTTACAAACCCTCATAAATAATACGACCCTAGCATTTACTTATTTTACCGTCTAATAGATATTATTATTATTATTAATGATTATTATTATTGAAAAGTCATTTATTTATTCATTTTTCAGTTCTGCTAATTTGCAGCTGACTTCCCCTTATCTGTGGATGCAGTGGTACAAGGAATTGAACAGAGACGTCTTTCCTTGAGTGTCATAGCCAAGATGGACTATGTGCTTCTGCATTTAACTGACTCACATATATTATATAGATATTTGTTGTTTGTATAAAGCACATAAAAATTTTTTAAAATTCAACCGTCGAAAACAGACATGAACTCAGCAATAATACCGATTGCATAATTGGGAATAAATATTTTCTTATTGTAAATCATTTGTTCTTATCTGTTATGAACACAAATGCATATATAAATATGCCCACCCTAAGAAATACAGGCCTGTATGATAGTACAGACATAATATCTGAAGTAAATACAGTACGTATATACCCATAAGTTGTATAACAAACAGAGTGATACTAAAGATCGATAAGAGAAAAGCCTTCATTTTCGATGTCAAAGACCGCACATTTTTATTTCTCTGTATAGCAGCAAAAGGCTAAGAAATATATTATTTAATAACCGTGTCTTGAATTAATATTTTATTTTCACTTCTCAACAATCACAGACACATTTATCTTCAATTTTTTAGAGGAGAATGTTTTCTAACAAAAGTTGAGAGAGGGACGGGGAGTTCTGGTCAAATAGATGTGATGGGTAGAAATAGTACCAACACAACAGTCTTCAGACATTTAGGGGCAGTTTCCAAAGCGTAAACAAAAGTGAAATGAGAGAAAACATGTTAATAGTGACGATGGAAGCTGTCAAACTGTGCTTAAAAGATTACAGCGAAGGTCTGTGGATTAGCATAATATCGTCAATTACTTAACTATATACTGGCTTTGAGTAATTTGGCTAGTGGTGAATTACAGGTAGAAAACATCAAATCAACAAAATATTATTATGCTTGTATAATAAATTTATTGGGAGGAATAGGAATCTTGAGCTGGCCGCATTATTGTCATAAAGGGCTAATCAACCAGGCCCTCTTATCCCGCGGGAATAGTCACGTGACTTACCACTGGCCACCGGAAAGGCCATCTGGTAAACAGAACAGACAGAAAGAAGCCTCCACCATTTCTGCAGCAGCACACGAGCAGCGTCAGCCTAAGAGCAACTGTAGCTATATTACGTACAAGCAGAACTGGTAAGTACAATTAACAATTCTAAAGCAAAATATGTAGACATTACCCCAAAAGTGTTTTGAGATGGATGCTCCTATCTTGTTGATGGGTAATTCCCCTGGAACGCCCAGCCCAACGCGTCTAAATGTAGAGCCCTGTACTGGTCCCTTGCTGGTTAAATTCTTCTTTTACAGAATAGACTCTAACGCATTTGCATATCATATTATATAATAGAATCCAAGAAATAGCTATATATATATATATATATATATATATATATATATATATATATATATTGCTTATTAGTGTTATTCTCTCATTTCCTATTTCCAAAGCTTTTCACTGAAATGGTCTTTGCCTTGACTTGGAAACATTGATGAACAATTTGAAAGTGTTGCTGTAGAGGTCCTAGATCTATAGATACATATACGATCTTAACCTCTATGTTGGAGAAAAATAAAAGAAAATTTAAAAAAAGAACTCAGTAACCTTAAGCCTACATGTATGTTGGAGAAATAATAAAATAATTTTTTAAAAAATTTCGGAAATTACTAGTTACATGTGTATCTGACGCAATCTGACGTTATGACGCTACGCTTTTCTCTTTCCAACTATGACATCACAATCATGTGACGACATCGACAATTTAGCATAGTTACTGACTATACTATATAGTATTCGACGGAGAGAAGTTTGATTGAGTTACTAAGATGATTATTTTCACCAATTTCTTGTTCCTCGCGATTCAGTGCTTCGGCTCATTTGTTAGGCAAAGGACAGGATACTCAAATGCCAAGGTAAATAGAACAAGATACATTGGGAGGCTGCATGTTTTTAAAAAACGAATTCAAATCAGCTCTCCACGAATAGTCGGTCTATTGGCTACATGTAATTATTATTGCGCTCGTTGCGAGAGTGATAATATACGTTGGTAATGAACATGTGATGAAAATATTCAATAAGATTTGATAACGCATGTTGGGAATTTCTGTGGAATACGCATTCAAATTATTTCTATATTGGCTTTATATTCAACGAGCAAGTTGCGTTATTTCTTACCCTGCTCAGGAAATCGTATTATTTACGTGAAGTACAATTTTTTTTCTGTTCTGAAGTTAATTTACAGCTTCTTTTTAAAATAATTTATGCAAGTGTGATGTAATTGGTTGGTTTATTTCTTTGTTCTAGCTTGTTGACGAAGTTTGGTAAGTTTTTCACGCGTTTTTTAATCATTTGAATCTTTATCTGACTGCATCTTTCATAGCTCTGTTCTGATAATTCTTCATAGACTGCCTCTAAAACATTTTAATAAAACTAGAAATGCACTCGGCTAGGGTGTGCTGACCTCAACTCAATGATAACTCAATCCACATTTTTATTTATTTATTTATTAATCAGGACTAAAATCTAATGAAGTCCAAGCTAGTTCATTTTATCAAAATGCGTCCATAACTTTAGAGCAACACAAGCAAAAACATAACAGTGACATAATTTCATTGGCAATGATAATATATAAATCAAGGAATGATCGTTGTAGGTCATACACATTTCCTAAATGTGACCATTTGGTTTTCGTTTCTGAAGCCAGCATCTTTTTACCTTACCACCTTTAATCTTCAGCGTGCCCAGGAAATCTGGATGCTTTTCCGACATAGATAAGTTTGAAGCTGCAGAGGCGGCAAAGAATGCCAAAGACTTCTTTGCACTGGTGGTGTCCTTGGACATATCTGGCGTTGAGCTGATCGGGATCATTGAGGATCGTCTGAATAAAGCAAGGGCCGAAATGGTATGATAATTTTATTTATTTATTTATTTATTTATTTATTTATTTATTTGGAGCATGAAGCACAATTAATGGATTAGAAAGAGAAGAAAAGAGCGAGCAGTGTCAAGTGATTATGTCTTTTTATGTCGAATTTTTCATTATGAAATATTAAATTTTCATGCGACGACCATGATTCTTAAATGGGTTTCATATTCGAGAAAGAGAAACAGGAGGTTAATGTTGGATTCAAGAGTAGTGTTTTAATTTGTGTAGTGTTTTAATTAGTCCTCACTAAACATTGTTACTTTTTAAATTTGTAATTGCAATTTTTAACATTTTCAGGATGGCAAGTTCGCTAAAGAACTGCAAGAAATCGTCAGGTAAAAAGTGGTTACATTATATTGCATCAATTCAGATTAATTATGATTCTATAGCAAGAGGTGGGGGTGTAAACGGCGTTCGTTGGGTGCACGTGTTTATATAAACCTGCGTGAATAATACGACCCTTGCATTTACTTATTTTGCAGTCTATTTATTTTTCTTATTATTATTTTAATAATTAATATTCATTTATTTATTCATTTTTCAGTTCTGCTAATTTGCAGCTGACTTCCCCTTATCTGTGGATGCAGTGGTACAAGGAATTGAACAGAGATGTCATTCCTTGAGTGTCATAGCCAAGATGGACTATATGTTTCTACATTTGACTGACTCAAATATTATAGATATTTGTTATTTGTTCAAAAATATAATTCTTATATATTATTCAACTGTATAGAATACACTCAACAATAGATATAAAATAAAATATACTCAATCTACTCAACATAATGAACTCAGCGCTAATACTGTTTGCATAAATGAGAATAAACATTTTCTTATCGTATTTCATTTGTTCCAATTTGCACTGAACACAACTGCATATCAAAATATGTTCACCCTTAGAAATACGGGGTAGCATATTAGAACAGACATAACATCTGAAGCAAATATACTTGACTGCTGAATAATACCTCTTAACTGTATAATAAACTGAGTTATACTAAAGATCTATAAGGGGGAAAAACCTTCATACTCGATGCCACAGATGGCGCGTTTTGATTTCTCTGTATATACAGCAATTCAATTAGTACTGTGGAACTAAGCAACCTCTCACTGAATATTCGTGTCTTAAAATCATATTTTATTCTCAATTTTCAACAATCACAGACACATTCATTTTCATTGCTCTCTTGATAGTATGGAGTGTCTTCTAACAGAAGTTAAGAGCGGGTGTTCTGGTCAAATAGATGTGAAGGGTAGAAATCGTACCAACAGTCTTCAGACATTTAGGGACGGCTTTCATGAAAAGCTGAAACAAAAGTAAACCGAAAGAATACATGCGAGTAGCGTTAATTAGTAAAAACAATCAAATCATTTCTTTTCAAAAAGATGACGGTGGACATATATTTAATCAAATGGTACATGTATCGTCAATTTATCTACCTACGCCTGAAATGTTGATTAATACTTGCACCACCATCTTGTGGTCACAAATATTCCATCAGTTACAGGACACTTATCGTGAACTGTATCTTCATTCTTTTATTTATTTATTTATTTATTTATTTATTTATTTATTTATTTATTTATATACCAACTTTTTTTTTGGTTTAAGTCGAAATAAGACTATACATTAAATCGTAAAACAAAAAATGTCCCTCTTACCCCAAAGGTGTTTTGAGACGGATGCTCATATCTTGTGGATGGGTAATTGCCCTGGAACGCCCAGCCAAACGCGTTCAGTTTACCTTTGTTGTACAAGAGGAAGATTGGTGCAAAGTCGTTACAGCTCATGTCTTCGCTCAGGTTGTACCAGTAGTGCACGCCTGCGTAAAAGAACAAAGTTTGTGTGCTGTATTCTCTGACGGGGTTAGGTTCGGATAAGAGGGGTGTAAGAACTGTGGATCAATTTTTTATTTGCCTAACCTCCTGCTTGATACCATATTATATATATATATAGGTTAATTTTAATAAATTTAGATCATGACTCTCTCTGCTCAATCAACAACATATCTAAACCAACTAAGCGCACAGAAACTGAGCGCGGGATGGCCACTGTCAAACATCAGGTCTCCGGACTCACCCATGCCGTAGAAGCATTTCCCCAAAGTCCACTTCGTACCCTGGACCTCGCTCTCCTTCAATGGAATGGTGATGTAATCAGAGGCAGGGTTCGGGCCTGTCTGAATGTAGAGCCCCGTACCGGTCCCTTGCTGGTTAAATTCTGCTTCTGTGCGGCCGGTGGAACAGATAGTGGCTGCAGGTAGAAATATCAATACATTTTTATTCAAAGAATCGACTTAATAGGTACATTGATCGTAACGTCAGGATCTTATACCTAATAATGACATGTCCTTTTAAGGTACACTTTTTTTTTCTGATGCCTAGTTTTAAAAAATCAGTGAAATTGTTCTAAATGTATCCCCGCGCCTGGACGTGACATTTTCGGCAACGCTTTTCTTCTAACTTCCCAATAAAAAGTCTTTGCATCGGTACGCCTGCACTCATGAAGATGCAAATTTTGATCGTGGAACCTAAACAGATGGAGAAATGCCGATAATCTGAGATAATCTTAGATAATCTTAGATAGTGATAAAATCTATACCCCAGTGCATTTCACGTCGGAAAGCAGATTAGATATAGGCCGGAGGGGAGGAGGGGGGGGGGAGGAACAGACCGAGTGTCGACCCTTGTTCAGGTCNCGTAGAAGCATTTCCCCAAAGTCCACTTCGTACCCTGGACCTCGCTCTCCTTCAATGGAATGGTGATGTAATCAGAGGCAGGGTTCGGGCCTGTCTGAATGTAGAGCCCCGTACCGGTCCCTTGCTGGTTAAATTCTGCTTCTGTGCGGCCGGTGGAACAGATAGTGGCTGCAGGTAGAAATATCAATACATTTTTATTCAAAGAATCGACTTAATAGGTACATTGATCGTAACGTCAGGATCTTATACCTAATAATGACATGTCCTTTTAAGGTACACTTTTTTTTTCTGATGCCTAGTTTTAAAAAATCAGTGAAATTGTTCTAAATGTATCCCCGCGCCTGGACGTGACATTTTCGGCAACGCTTTTCTTCTAACTTCCCAATAAAAAGTCTTTGCATCGGTACGCCTGCACTCATGAAGATGCAAATTTTGATCGTGGAACCTAAACAGATGGAGAAATGCCGATAATCTGAGATAATCTTAGATAATCTTAGATAGTGATAAAATCTATACCCCAGTGCATTTCACGTCGGAAAGCAGATTAGATATAGGCCGGAGGGGAGGAGGGGGGGGGGAGGAACAGACCGAGTGTCGACCCTTGTTCAGGTCAACATCAGTACATAAATCCGCCATTCTGTTGGAGAATCATGACATGGCATGACAGAATCAGCTACTTACCAGGGTTGACGAAGTAGGCCGTTATTTTGTAACCTCCACTCTCTTCTCTGAAGTACTTCATGATCTCTTGGTACGGATAGGGATTGCTGTTAAGGCTGGGAATCTTAAAAAGATTAAAAAAACAAGTTGAAAGCCAACTTGGGTTGCAATTATGGTCGATATGCAATGATAAACCTTACGATGTAATGTCCTGGGGATTTTATTACATTTCACAATCAACTGATAACCGTGCCTCTAGACATTTAATTAGATGGTGGTTGTTTTTTTATTTTTGTGCTTTCTTTCTTCAACAGACGCAAAACATGAGGTTATGGATAAGATGTAAGAAAAAAATCACATATTGGCCTTTATTTTTAAGATGACCTTCATCAACATACTCTGTACCAGTAAAAGTTTCTTGAATTCTTACGCTGCAGCAGTATAGGACGGCATATGCTATTAATATCTATAAATCCATCTTCAAATATATCGGCATTGTATACGTATACCATGTTATTGCTAGCTTACTCAACATACACCCTCCCTTTGAATGAATCAACCTCTTAGACCTAGTACACATTGTCAATGGCATGACCAAATACTATCTTTAAAAAAGGCATTAGCATAAAAAACTTTACCCCAGCTTCTATCCCAGCGATGTAACCATTCTTATCAAAGATAAGTATAACAGCCTCGTCCCCGTCCTTCATGTACCGATTGCCAATTATGTTTTTGGAAGCTTAATAAAATAATGATAAAAGAGATAAGAGGTAATTTTTTAAGTTAGTTGGATGTCAGAATGAAAATGTTTCCAGGAATTGGTATTTCGATTTGTAACTTTTTTTTTTCAAATTACTTTATTTGTAAAATTTTTCTATTTTTTTTTTTTTTCTTAATTCATTTGCACGTTACCAAGCAATTTTAAAATCGGACAATTTTCAGCCATTTTAAAAATATTCCTCATGGAAAGTAAGTGCTGTTACCGCCGCACGCCGAAATTAACTTGAAATCGTCAGCCACTGCGTCTTTTACGGTCCTCGGCACCGCATTAAAAGACGTGAGAGGGTTGCCGAACGTCACTGGGAAAATTACAAATACATTTATTACTTTTCTGGCCAGTGTGAACATAAATGACAAATACAGGGGAAAATAGAGACAAGCTTGTGGTTTGCAATATCTATTCTAGAAGCTAAGTAAGCAGTATCGATATAAATATTCGCACAGTACAATACCAATTACACCAATATGTACATTTAAATTGAGACGGTGAAATTGCAATGAAAAAAGAATTTGTTTAGAATGCGTAATACATTTAGTTACTGTTCAGTGCTGTGATAATAAAAACTTGGAAAATATTACCTCGAAGGCCATTCCACGCTGGACCACCTGCAAGGCAAGTTCAAACACGATTCAATTCATTACTGATATAAATTTGTGCTATCCTTCACGGAGTGTGGCTCAATCTAATTTTAAAACAAATTGATCCATCTGTAGAAAATGCATCACTTGTAAGTTGATTTTTTTAGATAATCAAAAGTTTAACAAGAAAATAACTCTTTGTTGTGGGTGTCTCTAGGTTCACTTCTTGAATGCAGCTTACCGACACTTAAACTCCGGATCTTTTAAGCATAAAATAATCTCAATAAAATATATAGATATTTCAGCTCTATAAATCATTAGCTGAAACTGCTCAACTTTAATCACGCGCAAAGAAATAAAAAGCGAATTGAAGATTTTGTTCATACCGCCCAGGAACGCCTCTGTGGTAAAAAGGAAGGTTGCCAATAAAGCCAATACCCGGTGCATAGTGTTAGATCTGTGCCTCCTCCGTGGCAAGTGAGGCCACAGGTACACTCGCTATCTTATAAATATCATCTTAATATCAGCCATCTTTTCGTTAAGTCACTAATCACGAAGAAACTGTGGAATTTTAGGAGCGACCAAGTCCAGTGACGTCGCAAAATGACTGCATTCACAAGTAAGGTGTGAGGATCCGTGTATCAGATAGTCCGACCTCCATTAGATCCCTACAGGTTAGGGTTAGCGTGAAATGGGACAAATCGAGGACAGGGATTACCAGAACAAATCAATGGGAACCGATCCCTGTATCACAGGAGGCTCTCTCGAACATGACAACGACCTCATCATCTCTTCCGCCTACTAAGATTGACGGGTTTTGATCAAAGGAAAGCCTATCTGGTAGAAATTTGTACACAGTTGTTTGTAAACGTAGATGTAATTCAGTGCAAAAACCATTTGCACCGTTTTTAATCATTTGCCTTATCTATGTTTTGTATATTATTTATATCTTTATTTGCCTGTTTGTCTGTTTGTTTGTTTCTTTTATTTCATTTTTATCGTTTTTTATTGCAAAAAAATCCCATCTTGACCTGACCTTGAATAAAAAACAACTGATTTGTTTTACACTTCATCTTTTCTTATAAGTTGGCCGTTTTGCGATAATGAAAATAGCATTAATCAGATTTTATAGCCCAGTCTCTTAATCTTCGTCTTGGGAATGGGGTTAATAGCGATGACTTTCCTCCTCCACGTTGTCACGATCTGACCCTTACCTCCTCGATATGGAGCATCACTAAGACACCAATCTCAGCAGTATTTGTCACCTTGCAGGAGTAGCAGTCCTGTTTGCAGTCTAAACGTTATCTGTAAGGTGCCTATGTCTATACCTTGATTAACTTATGTCATTGTAACAAAATATTGTACAGTTTTAAGCATAAAAACTTTACATCTCTTATTACTCAGTGAATATGACAAATGAATTAGGAAATGACTTACATGTAAGTTGATCTAAAGAAAACGATGGAAGCCTTCGGTTATTTATTCGAGTGACAGCACATTGTGACACATTGGGAAATGATTTCTTGAATCACTAAACTGCTGTGTCACCTGCTAAAATAAAAGGATGGCATCTACCTCAGGCCTTCCCAACTACCAGACTCGGCACCTACGGGTCCAGTATAAACCGGTTTATCAGACCACACTGCCCGTTTACAAGGTGTGTGTCAGATCGCATTACAGAGTATCAGCCACAACACCGATTTTGCCTGGTGCGCGATGTGATAGCAATGATCCTAAGCGGGGTTGGAAAGTAGTGCATCTCATCTAGATTCATGCGCTGCTGCAATTTTCTCTGTTTATGCTAAAATCTGACATAAAATTTAGGTTCGGACATAGCCAATGATGTTTTGTAAATAAGAACTTGCAAACTTATATATTAATTTAGAAAAGTAGACCTAATTTTGATAGCGGAAGCATATTCTGTCGGGGGTTAAATATTTTCATGACTACCGGGATGGACGAGATTGAGGGCAGGGGTAATCCTAGAGAGGGGTGAGAAACGTCCATTGTTCTCGTCAGCGAGGCTGTCCTTTTTCAGGGTTTGTACGCACGGACAGNACTAGTAGATATCAGCCTGTAGTCTTGAACAAGCGCCTCGATGACGAGTGAACAGTTGTCAAAAACAAAAGACCCAGGTGTGGAAGTTCAACTACTGTTCATGCGTGCCGCAACGACCAAACCTAATTGCTCCTCAAGGTCACAAAACAATTACCGGTACTGACGGCTAGGCTCGTCTTAATCATATAAGTAGCGCGTTTCCACCCCCTGATTGAGGGAGTCGTCTGTTGTATTCATACGACTCCTACTTGACGAAAACGAGGCGCGATACCCGGATGACAGGTAGGCTTACAGAATTTGTGATAGGGTATGATACTCTTTTATGCGATCTGACACACACCTTGAAAACGGGTAGTGTGATCAGATATACCGGTTTATTCTGGACCCGTAGGTGCCGAGTCTGGTAGTTGGGAAGGCCTGTACCTTCAGGCCCCCCTTTCACAGTGTGGCAGCTTATTTTTCATAGTTCAGTTTCTTTTATACTTCAACTAGTTGATCTAGTAGCTTCCTCTATGGTCACCTTTCATGGACGTGCTTTTTAATCCTGACCAGTAGGCCTATGTACTAGAAATGAAGACAGGTCAATGACAAGCTGGCTGGCGGTTTACAGAAAATCAAATAAGATGTTCCGAAGACTGATCGATGTAGATATGTGCACAGTGCAACAAGAATAACACCAATAGGTAAAGGAAGATAATGAAAACCCAAAGGTGACCATCATAATATGTGAATACTGTATTAAAAACCGTGCCATATGATCATAGGGGAAAAAACGTGTATACAAGCGTGGAAGCTATAGGCGATTGACTGACACGTTTATATTTGTTGAGTGCGATTTTCTTGTGACATCTTTGGGCGGTGTTTTTGTGTCTATATGAGATTGCAAAATATCCAAATGCAATGATAAATATATGCTACAATGCCAGTGCATGACACTTCCAGCTTTGAAAATTACTTAACGCAATGAAATAGAACGTAAGATAGCATATCAATTGACAAGCATGTATTCCCATGAGTAAACAGGCGACTAATTAAAGTTGCAGCATGGCAATAAGAACAGGAAAAAGAGTTAATTTTCAAGCGCTGCTTCGCTGACTAGAAAACTTTATGAGATTTTGTGGAATATGCCGTTAAAAACGAAAGCACCTCTAATCGGTGGCTTTCATCGAATAATGATTTCGTCTTAGAAGCGGCTTCTTGTAAAGAGGGATTCCTTAGTTTGATGCCAATAAATGAGTGCCTTAATGCCTTTTTTTCGGTTGGAAAAAATTAAATGGTATCAATTTTCATTTTTCAAGGAAAGGAGCTAATGCGTCTCACTTCTCACAGCGGACACGTACCCAGTAAATCGTCTGCATTAATAGTCTGAACTCGACTGAGGTTAAAGTTGACAGCACACAGGACGCCCTGAAATTTCTGGTGACTACAAGGTTTTACTGTTATAAAAGATGTGTGTATTATTATTATTATTATTATTATTATTATTATTATTATTATTTGGCCTCGGATGTTCAGGGTATCCACTTGTTTATTGATAAATTACTACACTATCAGACAAATTAGGTTAGCAAGCCGCGGGATAAAGTGATAATAGCTCGTTAATAATGTGACACCTCCACGGCCTGTTGTCTAGTTGATGGATCGGTTCGCCGGGCGATATAGTCCTAGATCGATATACTCGCAGTAGAAGACACAGCAACATGGCAGGTCTGCTTCAATTATCTGTTGGAAATTATTTCGATCTAAAAATGAGAATGGTTCATTTCGTGTGTGTGATATAGTGACAAATTTTTTCAACGCCTTCAAGGGTTTTTGTTCATTTCCTATCTATTCAATTTATATTTATTTATATTTTAGATGCTGCATTCGTTTCTTATGAGATACAGAACAAACTATTTTATAGCATAGCTGTGTCATTTTCTATGTGTTTTATAGTAAAAACGAGTCATAATATTCTTTTCACCTCAGGTTAAGTTCGTGCCGGGGTGTCCGGGTGAAGTACTTTAAAACTATCATGAACAAATACAGCTGGGATTCTTATTACACGTTCTTACTCTCTACTCATCTGCAATATCATTTTTATTCTACGCAAAATGAAGTTGGAAAGCAGTACTGTCTGCACAATTTATCTGTCTAGAAATATTGTAAAGAAGCATTATGCTGTTAACCCAGTTGGAGACTATTCAAATTCAGCAGAGTGATCTCGTAAGGTAAAGGAAGGCCTGCGCATGTTAAAATTATTGCAATAATCGAGAAAGAAGCAGTGTGTTAGAATAGAAAATCCTCTTATCAATAATTCACTGTTCTGCCAATCTTACCGGCAGCCCCGTGTGGGTTATTGCGTGCAAAACGAATTATGTAGTGTTTCTTCCCAAAAGCGGGTTGCAAAGAACTTGGGTTGCAATCAATGTAAGATTGTTCATATACAGTGCTGGCTTTGGAGAAGTTGCTAAAGAAAGGTAATTAGAAGATCAGTTGAAAAAAATCGTTATCCTGGGCATATGGCAAGCGTAGAATCGTATTCATGCACACAAGACCTAACACAATAACGTTGTCAGAACGTTTGAATTGGATGAAAAGAATATGCAGCTGAGCGCTTCCAACTGTTAGAGACGTGAAGATGCTTTTATGCTAAATATTATCGGGTAATTTTTATAGACATCATCTAAAACATGAATTTACCACTCAGCTTCCAGCCTGTCGATGCATCAGCGCGTTGCTCAAGTGTTTAAATTACTCTCAGTATGAAATTGAAGGGTAACTGTAAATTTGGTTTATTTAATAATTGATAAATGGACCGCTAGAAAGTAATTTATTTTCTTAGATATCTTTATCTTTTATCTAATTGTCCTTATCGAAATGTCAAAGCTATCTTTTTAGATTAATGAAATTACTTCCGCTGACACACACAAATAAGAAAAAACAAAAAACAGACAAATAAAAGATAAGTGATCCAAAATCATCCAATTCGCACATGATAGGATACATTTGAGTTTGAACCGTGGTACAGGAATGACTGGTAGAAACGTGAAAATTGTTGATGACACCTAGAAAATGTGTTGTTTGCTCTGGTCAAAATTCGACGGACCATCCTTTTATCTTTGTTTGAACAAAAAGACCAGAGGTATTACAAGAATTCTCCATTAAGCGGGAAATATGTCTGTCGGAGGACCAAGATTGTCAATAATCTAATTCATGTTCTCTCTATTTAAGAATGTCTATATTGATTAATGCAGCAAATAATGTTTTTGATAATCTGTTCTTTCATTAATAAAAACAGGTATAACATTTTTCTGGCACTAGAAAATTGTTAAAATGGTGCCAGCTGGGGAAGGCAATCAGAAAAAAAA